GATTTCCGCATCTCCAGAAATTTGGGCTGAATTTAAAAATATGGTGAATCATTAGGAAATACCAAGAAGTAATGCATCATCTTGAAAATATAAGCAAAAACTAAATTTTATCTCTGGAAAAAATTTGTACAAGAATGATTCATTCTGTTTATTTTTCTTTCTTAAAAGTAATCTGGACATTTTGAGCATCGCGGTGCTACCACTGCATGTTCTTGATTCTTTTCTTTTCTTCTTTTTTTTTTTTTTTAAAATATATATTTGATTGATTTTTTTACAGGAAGGAAGGGAGAGGGATAGAGAGCCAGGAACATCAATGAGAGAGAAACATCAACCAGCCGCCTCCTGCACACCCCCCACTAGGGTATATGCCCTTGACCGGAATTAAACCTGGGACCTTTCAGTCCACAGACTGATGCTCTATCCACTGAGCTGCATGTTCTTGATAAAAGGAGACTTCAAGTAAAAGCCCAAGGAGGATGTCAGGGACTTACATTTTAACCTGGCAAAGTGAGTGCCTGGCTAAAATCATGGCTCTTGCAAACAAACAAACAAACAAAAACAAACCTTATTGCTTAACTATTTCATTACTTGACTTCCGCTAAGCAAAGAATATGATCTGTGTCGCCAATAACAGTACTGGGAAAAACACATTCTGAAAGTATGGGGAAATCCACCCTACCTTGAAACTCTAATTTAAGAGGTTGTTACAAGCCACTGTAGGACCAGCATATGAAAAAAAAAAAAAGTGTGCAAAACAACTCAAATTTTAAAGCCTAAAAACAAAGATAATAGCTAAACTTGTGCAGCCTGTTTGCATTTCTCAGAACAAATGCTGGGAATGCATGAAAGACTCAAGTCCAATGGAAAAAAGCATGGATGGTAGGATTATGGGTGATTATTTTTCTTTCTTTTTCTATTTTCCATTTATTTCCTATGATAAACATATGCTACTTTTATATTATGTTTTGAAAAGCTTTTTAAATATTACTTTTGTTTCTCCAACTATCGATATCTGCATATGGCAACTGAGCATGCCAGGCCTGTTCTCTGGTAGTTGATGCAAAAAGAGAGTATGAAAAGCTAGCCCATCTCACCAGATCTCAGGGTGAGCTAAAACTTCATTAATTCCTTACATTAAAACAAAAATATTTTTAAAATTTAAATTCTATTTTTTACAAGCGAAGTGGACAAGTTAACTCTAACATTTAATCTCCTTAAGCTATGTATCAAGAGACCATAATATTAAGTTAAATAAGTAAAATGCTTTCTCATGATGTTGGCTTTGACTGGAAATATTCCATTCACTGAAATGCATTTTCCATGGAAAATTATGGAATCATTTTATCAGAATTAGTTCAGGAATTAAAAAAGTTACCATAGTAAAATTCATACTGTGACTAGAATATTGCCTTTGTAACGAATGCATTTACAGGCTCATAAATTTGTATGCTGCAGAAGGATGGCTGAGGAGTTGCTTTCGCTTGTGTTTGCACTGAATAGAATGGAAGGCATTTAGGAAAAGTTTTAATTAAGTGCTGATATGCTAAAGAAGAAAGGAAACACTGCAGTGTAGAAACCATGGCAGAAACAATTGCATCCCTCAGATTCAAATTCTTAAGAAAATTACTAATAGATTAGAAGAATGTTTTAACTTCTTAAACTTAAAGGGTAGATATCTTAAAGTCATAGATTATAGCCTAAACACATTACAGTCAAACTGATAAAAACCACAAGATTAAAAAAAATGAAAACACCCAACGAATGACAACACATTCAGGGTAACAATAATTTTAATAATCACTGACTTCTTTTTAGAAACTATAGGGATCAGGAAAGCATGAAAAAAAGAATATCCAGAATTTCAGATCTAGAAAACATATCTTTCAAGAAAGAAAGATGTATTTTATTTACAAACACATATCATTAAGAGAAAAGAGAACTAAGATATAAACAATGTCAGAGAATCATTGCATTATAAGAAATGCTAAATGAAGTTTTTCCACACTAAAAGAAAATGATCCTTTTGGGAAACTTGGATCTTCAAGAAAAGATGAAAAGCATCATAAGTGGTAAACATCAGAATAAATATAAAATATGTTTTTCCTCTTGTTTTTCTTGAAATACTTTGTACTATACGCTTTAGTTCATATGTAGAAGCAACATTTTTGAAAACCATAATGTAAAGGGTGGGAGGGGGAGTGAGGAAATGGACCTATGCTGAATCTTGTTTCTGAAAGGGCAGGGCAGGGCAAGGCTAATTCCTGACTTCATTTTGTATTATGGGGCAGGGCAGAGCAGGGTGGAGCTATCCTCCATTTAGTGTAACTGGACCCTAGCTCTCACCCAACCAATCAGGATCAGCCAAAGCAGTGACATCACCACCCTTATAAAACCACTTGACCTGTCGAAGTTTGCTCTCTCTTCTGCCATGCTGTTGGCGTGAGTGGGACAGAGCCTATGCTAGCATGGAAGAGGCTCTTTTGTTTATTGCATCAGACTCGGCTCCCTGGTGGTCCTTGGGGATCACGAAGTCTGGGTGTAACATTTCTACAGTAGCCTTTGAAAACTTAAAAAGGTATTAATTGTAATCCCTAGAGCCACCACTAAGTCAATAGATAAACAAATATTGATTTTTAAAAAAATATTCAGATAATCTTAGAGAAGTCAGGAAAGGAAGAATAAGCAAATAAAAAAGAGAAGGTTTATGAGGAAAATAAATAACATGATGGCATAGTTTTTATCTAATGAGGTCAACTATCACATTAAGTATAAGTGGTCTAAGCATTCCAAATAAAAACAAACAAACAGAGATTGTTAGTATTTAAAGGAAAACCTAACTGTGTGAGGTCTGTAAGAGAAGCACTTTAACTACAAGACACAGATGGGTTGAAATAAATGGATAGAAAAGATATCATGCGAAGAGTAGCTTGGTTATATTAATATCAGAAAAAGTAGTCTTCAAACAAAAACTTGTACTAAGATAAAGAGGGACAAATCATGGCAAGTATAGAAGTATGTATGTGCTTAATATCAGAACTTCAAAATATATGAAGCAAAAATTGACTGAATTAAAAGAAACAAAAGGTAATTCTATCACCAAAAGTAGAGATTTTAATACTCCTGTCTTAGTAATTCATTGAACCACACTAGCTTCTACCCTCACCAAAAGAGGCACTCGGCATAGATGCTAGTTTAGAAGGCTCTTCATTAGATGAGCTGCTGTAGGAGGAACACTGTATCTTCTTAACCCCATTGATGACACAAAAATAAATTTTAAAAAGTTTTTTAGATGAATATTCTTGTTTTCATTTCTCTTCATGTTCTGCACTAGTGTTTCTTGTAACCATTTCTCCAGCTCTGAGAAGTGGCCGAGCATCATTTTTCTGGTCCTGTCCTGATTCCCCTCCCATTCCTTTTCTGTTATGGAACTTTGGGAATCATTTATTTTTTAATTGTAACATTTTATTTTCCACAGCTCTTCACAATATTTGTGCTGTGTGGCTCTTACTAGCAGTCTTAGCCAGTGGATGGCTTATTGATTTTGTGGTTGTTCTACTAATGGACCAAAATGATGGCATTGAATAGGCCAATTCACTTTCATGTTTATTCATCTTGCTTCAAAAGACATAAAACATGACAGAACAATTCAGTTGACAGACGAAATTGATAATAACTTTAGATCATAAGCCTGGTCTTTGAAAAGAAGGCATCAGAGAGTTTTCTACTCTTCTGAACCCCTCTCGCTTCCACTAATAAGCATGGCCTCTGACTCTCTTTTATGAAGAAAAGATTAAAGCACAGACTTAGCCCACGCTGCTTCTTCCTAGGAAGTGAAATAAAGAACTGGGCACGCAGGCTCTTAGTCTCACTCCTCAGCCTCGTGTTTTCTGGTTATGAGTTTTCAAGAAGTCAGCTAACCTCTTTCAGCTTCTGATCTCATCTTTCACTCAGGGAGAGGGAGGACAGGCTGCTCTCCTCTTTGACGGGCCTGCCATAAACACTAAATTAGATTTTTTTTTTTTTTTTTTTTTTTTTTTTTTTGTGAATGTGCTTTGTAAAGCTAGGAGGCTTATACAAGTGATAGGTGTCAACACAGGCTCTCCATTTAATTAGAAAATGTGAAAGCACTAGTAACACTCTGTCAATTATTTTAGCTCTTTTTGCTCAACCTCCCCTCTTCATGTTCAATGTCTTTACTTGGTGTAATTAGGCCAATGGCTCAATGAGTTTGTGAAAAGGAATGAAAAGATATCTTCTATTTCCTATAAGAACATACCCTAACCTTTATCTGAAGCATATTCTCTGATCTTAGAAAGCGAGAGTCCTCTGATTTTGATTAGAGTTATACACCTGGATTGATAGAATAAGTCATACCTGCCTTATGAAGCATTCTGAAGTGTGACTTACCTTAGGAATTTTAATCCCTTTCTTTTCCTGGAAGACAAACTGGGATGGGTTTGCTTGTCCTCCTTATCCTGTTCCCCTGTCACCCACTCTAGGGAACAAATTTCTTTTCTTCTCTGTTTTTTACAGAGAGGAAGGGAGAGGGACAGAGAGTCAGAAACATCGATAAGAGAGAAACATTGATCAGCCGCCTCCTGCACACCTCCTACTGGGGATGTGCCCACAACCAAGGTACATGCCCTTGACTGGAATCGACCCTGAGACCTGTCAGTCCACAGGCCGACGCTCTATCCACTGAGCCAGATCAGTTAGGTTCCAAACTCATTTCTCTGTCCTCTCCCCCCCAACACTTGAATATACTTTGAAATCCAGAAAGCTGCACCTGAGGGTATATAAACTTTAGTTACTGAGAAAGATATCATAAAGGGTCCTATATAATTAAAAAAATAATAATAACTGTGAAGTATATTCAAGTGATGGACTAGGTATGAACAAGTAAAACCAAAAATTGCCCTGAAGCCTTGTGTCCGTACAGCACTTTACTACAGAACACTTTCTGGGCATCACAGGACCAGAGAGCATTTTCCCAATAATACCTGAGTCATCGTTAGTCCAGAAGGTTCTTGGATCAGGCTTGGTCAGGATGTTGGCGTGAGTACATGGCTCTTTTACCTTGAAAACATAAGAAGAAAAGATAATGTAAAAATGGCTTCACGATTTCTGCTGTGTCGGGAGTACAGTTCCACAGGCAAGATTCCAAGGTTGACTCTAACACACATGGCTCATCTCTACCCCAAATAGGTGACCAACCACCCCAGATTGACCAGGACTGACGTGTTTCCCAGGATATAGGGTTTTTAGTCCTGGGCACTACCGAGATGATTGGTCACCCTCGGCCTGATCCAGTTTCACTCCCAGGGCTCATGGCTGGGTAAGCACCTGGGGGTGGGGTTCAGTCCCAACGCACACCCTTCTACCTCTGTGCTTTTTGCAATCTGCTGTATGCAGAGGCCCTGAATAATTAACAAACTTATTAGTGTAAGAACACTCAACACATACAAAAAATTGTTTTGGATTTCTACTTTACAAAAATGGTATTTTTAGTCTATATGCTTGGAAAAATATATTTAAGGAAGAACTAATTTTAATTCAGTAGCACTTTAAAATAAATTCTTCTTTTATAATCATAACATCACATATGTAATATATATATATTAGAGACCTGGTGCATGAAATTCATGCACAGGGGAAGGGAGTGGGGGTCCTTCAGCCCAGCCTGTACTCCCTCCAACCTGGAACCCCTCAAGGGATGTCCAACTGCCCATTTAGGCCTGATCCACCGGGCAGTCACACATCCATCTCACAATCCAAGACTGCTGACTCCTAACTTCTTAATTGCCCCTAACCGATTCTGCCTGCCAGCCTGATCACCCCCAAACACTCCCCTGCCAGCCTGATTGCCCTGAATTGCCCTTCCCTGTAGGCCCATTTGCCCCCAACTTTCCTCCTCTGCCAACCTGGTCACCCCTGACTGCCTTCCCCTGCAGGCTTGATCACCTCCAACTGCCCTCCCTTGCAGTCCTGGTCCCTTCCAACTGCCCTCACCTGCTGGCCATATTATGGTGGCCATCTTGTGTCCACATAGGGCAGCCATCTTGCGTGTTGGAGAGATGGTCAATTTGCATATTACTCTTTTATTAGATAGAATAAAGGCCTGGTACACTGGCGGGGGCTGGCTGGTTTGCCCTGAAGGGTGTCCTAGATCAGGGTGGGAATTCCTTGGGGCATGGGATGGCCTGGGTAAGGGGCCTGTGGTGGTTTGCAGGCTGGCCATGCCCCCCAGCAACCCAAGTGGAGGACCTGGTATCTGGGATTTATTTATCTTCTATAATTGAAACTATGTAGCATTGGGTGGAGGCCAGGGCCGTCCAGGATAAGTAGAAAGATTGGCTTCCTCCATAGCCAGGGAAACCCAAGCCTCCTGCTTGCTCCTTGGCTGCAGCCATCTTTGTTGGGTTAATTTGAATACCCACTCCTGATTGACTGGTGAGTGTGACTTGTGATTGTATAGGAAGTACAGTCAATTTGCATATTACTTTTTTATTAGATAGAATTTTAATCCTCACCTGGGGATATTTTCCCATTGAGTTTTAGAGAGAGTGGAAGGGAGAGAGAGAGAGAGAGACAGAGAGAAATATCAATGTGAGAGAGACATATCAATTGATTGTCTTCCGACATGCCCTGATGAGGGCCAGGGATTTAGCCTGCAATGAAGATACATGCCCTTCAGTCTGTAGGCTGATGCTCTTTCCACTGATCCAAACTGGCTAGGGCCAGAATCTATATTTTTAAATAGTAGCACATGTATATATATAATACATATTATTTATAAAGGTCTGCCTAGTGTATATCCAACTAATAGATTTCTGACAGTTAAGTTCCAGGTAGCAGCAATTATCCTTTCTTTTTCAACTTTCTACTATTGTGATGGTGCTTTTTCAAACATATTCTCAATCAGGGGAATATAAATCTTACTGTTCAAAAGGACATTCCATTTAAATCTACTTTATAGTGAGATAATTTGATTACTGTTGAAGTCTCTTGTATTTATTTATTGGATATATTTCTCCAATGCAAAGGACTAAATAATGTCACTATATATATAGTTCAGTTCTATTGACTTGTTTTTCCATTACAAGTCTTTATTGTTGAGGGAAGCATTGATTTATATCTGGCACAAACCCTTTCTCTTGTTGTGAATTGGTATCAAAGAATGTGTGGAAATCAGAATATCAAAGACTTATTTGCACTCCCAGATTCACTGCAGCATTATTAACAATAGCTAAAGTGAAGAAAAAACTTAAATGTCCATGGACACATGAATGGATAAAAGTAATATAGCAGATACATAAATGAAATATTATTCTGCCTTTAAAAAGAAAACTCTACCATCCACATCCACATGGATGAAACCTGAGGACATTTTGCTAAGTGAAATAAGCCAGACACAGAAGGACGGATACTGCTTATAAGAGATGTCTAAAGTAGTCAAACTCAGAGAAGCAGGGATTGGGAGGAGGAAGTGAGGATTTGCTAGTCAATAAGCATAAAGTTTCAGTTATACAAGATAATTAAATTCTAGAAACCTGCTGAACAACATTGTGCCTATAGTTAACACTGTTAAATTTGCATTGGGGTCCACTTCCAAATTTGGTAAGAGGATAGATTTCATGTTAAGTGTTCTTACAATTTTAAACATCTATATCTGCTAAAATATTAGATACGCACATAAACTGTTATGTGCATAAAATATGTGGGATTATTAGTGGAATTTTATGGTAATATAAAATGTTATTAATTTATAGAAAACATAAATTTTAGAAATAAAACTGTGGTGAAAAATATCATCAAAATGTAAATCTCAAGGAAAAAAAACATAATGCGTGGACTAACACCATTCTGTGGAGGACATTTTGAGCAAGCTGCAAAATATTTCTCCAACTTCATTAAATAGCCTAAGTATAAATTTCTTCTACTAAGTTGTTGCTCCATGTTGTTAGAAATCTCTTTATTAGTTTAACTGAAATCTGGATCCTCAAAACTTCTTGCATTCTGATATATAAAAACAAACTGATTCTGCATAGAACAGACCTAGAGGCCCAGTGCAGGAAATTTTGTGCACTGGGAGGGAGGGTGGTGGGAGGGTGGGAAGTTTTCAGCCTGACTTGCCCCTGCCCCCTCTTGCAGTCTAGGACCCCTTGGGGGATGTCCACCTGCAGGAGTGGGCCTAAGTCAGCAGGCAGACATCCCTCTCACAATCCAGGACCCCTCACTCCTTACCACCTGCCTGCTCACTATTTCTTACCGCTCCTCAGCACTGCCACGGAGGCAGGAGAGGCTCTCGCCACTCCCACTGTGCTCACCAGCCATGAGCTTGACTTCTGGCTGAGTGATGTTCCCCCTGTGGGAGCACACTGGCCATCAGGGGGCAGTTCCTGTGTTGAGCGTCTACCCCCTGGTCATCAGTGCACATTATAGCGAATGGTCATTCCTCCGTTTGTTCCATTGTTCAATTTGCATATTAGGCTTTTCTTATATAGGATATCGCAAATATTTGAAAGTAGCTATTCTGTGTCATCTTAGTCTTCTATTCCCAGATTAGCAGTCCTTTTCCCTTTTGCTGTTCCTTATGAAATGATTTTTGTCTTGTTACTGAGATCACTCTGCCCCAGAAGTTATCCCCTCTGGCATGTGAGCTAATCCCTTGGGAGTTCCCAGGCAAAGGCCAGATAACAGCCAGTAAAATAAGGAATTGGTTTCAAGAGATAACTCATGAGGAAGACTACAAACGTTATTTCCAGATGTGAATAATTAAAAGTTTTCTAAGAATTATAAATAATTCTCTATTATTTAGCTACTTTTTAATATTTTTTATCCAAAAAGTCCCAATTGATTTTATAACTATAGACTTATTTAGGAAAACTGCTACATATAAGCATTTTTTTTTCTACATTGAGCTCTAATTACCTTGTGTCCTTATATCAAACAGAAGTAATTCTTCCAAATCTCATTTACTTATGAATAATTTTTTATCACTATTTGTTTGAAATATTTTCTACAGGTTGAAGCTGCTTCTGTTAAATTCAAGGCCATCAATAATTTATTCTTGGTCTTTTGTTTTGTTTTTTTGTATAACTAGGTGCCCAGTACACGAATTTGTGCACCTTAAAAGGAACTCTAGGCTATGAGGCTGCAGTGGCACAGGAATGGGTTTTAGCCCATCCTCCATGCCCCTGCCCAGACCCTCCCGCTGTGGCCCCAGTTCCCTGTCTGCCACTCCCATCGCCACTGCCACTCTCATGTACTGATGGCACTGGCCCCACTTGTACCTCGTTGATGGTGTGGTGTGATTGGGACTGGCACTAGCAGTTGGTGCAAGCATTGGCTGCAGCCCCGATCACCTTACAGGAGCAGGGGGAGATGGAGAAGCCCTGAGGGGAGATTGAGGCTGCCAGCTGCCACTCACACCTGCTGTGATGCCAAGTGACTGGGGCAGATGCCAGGTGCTGGCAGTGGGTGAGAGCAGCGGCTCCAGTGCTGGCAGTGGATGTGAGTGCCAGAAGAGAAAGCATCATACAGGAGCAAAGAATCTTCAATAACCACCAGTCTCTCCCTTCAATAATAGTAACTGGCACCATACCTTGGTCTGATGCCCCCACTCACCTGCTCCACTATCCCACCATGGCCAATACCGACCATGTTCTGTGCTCTGCCACTTGCTGCCAACTCCCACCATATTCCATATACACCCTCTTGTTGTCAATTCACATCATAGCGACTGGTTGTTTGGTTGTTCCGCAGTTCAGTCTATTTGCATATTAAGGATATATATATATATATATATATATATATATATATATATAAAACATATATATATTTATATATATTTATATATATATAAAATACATATATATATATATATATATATATATATATATATATATATATATATATAAAATACACTATTCTCCATGATCCCCAAACTCCAAAGTACCCACAGCAAATTACCTATAAAGTACACATAGTGAATTTTTAGCACAAGTTTATATAAACCCATTAGTTACTGTATATTCTGCAACAACTTATCAACAATGCCCTAAAACTGACTCCTG